AAAAAAAAAAATGGAATTTTTCATTTTTTTTCTTTCTCTTCTCTTTTTCTTGCTAAATAGAACGTAGAATGAAACATTAAGGGAAAGAAAAAGAAATAAAGATAAAAAAAAATCTTTTTGCAAGATAAAATAATGATCAAAAAAAAAAATAGAAAATTATTTGACTAAATAAAACCGAAAAAAAAAAAAAGAATATGTCAAGAACAGAAAAAACAAAAATCATTACCAAAGAAAGGAACAATTTGTGTGTGTCCACTTATGGGTAAAATACGGCAATATTATTCCTCTCCGTTCTCAGCACTTAAATTTGGCGAATACTCTGTTGTGTTCGGGGTTTCCGGCTTCTTAGTCTAGTAATTTCTGGAACGCTTATCTGACAGCTTATTTTGCTGTTGTTTTTATTAGAAAAAAGTCCCTAATTTTTGTTACAGGTGACAGCTATACAAAAAAAAAAAAAATAATAATACTTTACGCTCTTTCCTCTTCAATTTAATCCTCCTTTTCCGTGTTAACTGCCAAAATAATTTCACTTTCTTATTTGATAAGAGCATTTTGACTTTTTTCCCACTTTTTTTTACAATTTTCATAACATTCATAGATTTAAATTTTCACCGTTCTGTATTTCAATTGTTTTTTTTTTTTCGTTTATAGCGCTGCCACTTTTTTTTCTTATTACATCAACCGTCACCAGTGAACATAGCTCGATCAATGTAAGGGACGAAGGAGAGTTTGAATAAAGGGAAAAGAACAACTTGGTAAAGAAAAAAGAAAGGAAAGGAACACTCAAGATGAATTATGAATAAATTTTTTTGAAGATATTTTTTGCTTTAGAGGACAGAGAGAGGAAAGGGTGGAACAGAGGAAAGGGGAACGGAGAAAAGGCAGAAGAGCGGGGAAAACGAGCGTAATGATGAGGTTTTCCGCATTGTATTCGCACAGTGTTTGCAGTTTGATCCGATCGGAGTCTATTAAAGTGTTAATTATTTCAGTTTATTTCAATAATCAATGTTGAAAACTTTACTTTTGACTCCTCTTTTCTGCATCCAAAAAAAGAAATATTATATTGAAAATAAAACAAAAAAAATAAAAGAAGGAAGAAGAGTAAAAGACACATTTTTCTTCCCCAGCCTAATAGTACTATAATTATGGCGAACATTAATAACAGTTCTTTTTTTGTACACCACTTTTTCCTGATACTTTTATTGCAAAAAAAAACTGCTCTAGAAGATAGACCTGATATAAGACCAAATTATTATTTGTCATTATTGTTGCTGTTGTCGCTGTCATGATGAAGGAGGGTAAGGCGGAGAAGAAGCAGAAGAAAAAAAGCAAAAGATAAGAGATGAATAAATGATATTAATCCGTGATCAACCTAGTTTTTGCTTATTATACTTTTGTCGATTTGATACGAATATCGCTCTTTGTTCGTCAATTAAGAATTGCAAAAAAAAGAAAATAACTGTATTTAAGGGATGGTAATAAAATGATTTGACTGATGATGAAAATTTGGATAGCTTTGTTGCTTCCAAGCCTAATATTTGCCTACTGCAACAATACGGAACACTGCTTAGATGCCATCCGTCGGATAGTCACAGAACAGCGGCAGTTTTGGTTTGGTGAACAGTGGAAACTGATGTGTACCGGTTCGGCACGACACCACCGACGTCCGGTTGACTGCTATAATCCACATGAACTTCGACATTTTTTTGGTATCGGTAATCGACTGTTTCGTGTCAACACTTACCAAGCTGGATATTTGCAAAATTTACGCATTTTTCCCAGGATTTTATTCAAACCTAAATCTGGTAAGCGTCATTTCATTACGCTAGTTAACAACGAAAATTGATTTCCAAGATTTGGAAATCAATTTTCGGACTCCAATATTTATCAATTGTTTAATACCTTTCTTTTTCGTCATGTAGAGGGGAAGGAGATGGTATACTCAATTTTCTTTCATTCTGCTTCTTTCTCACCAGTCGTCTTCTACACTGCCAATCTTTTTTTTTTTTTTCATTTTTTTCTTCGAGTTTTTTCTCGTATTGTCATTCCAATTTTGATCACCTGCTTGCGCAAACAGACAACGATGATAATAATAATAATAATAAGAGCAGTAATGCTACAACAAATAATAATGGTAATAACAAAGAATGTTAGTTAAAATTACTTGCTTTAATATAGCATTTTCTTGGCTAGCATTAAAAAAAAAAAAGAAAGGGAAAGGAAAAGGATAAGACTTTTTTGTTGTGTTATTTCGCCTAATCCTATTAAACAGTTGTAATTTGATGTGCTCAATATTTTTATATACGCTCGTTTCTTTTATTATTCTTTTTTTCCCTTTTTTTTTTTTCATTTTCCTTGCCGTTTTTTGTGTTTGGGGGAGAGCGGAAAGGGAGGAAGGGAAAAACGGGTGGTTTCTTTTTAAAGCAAAGATTAAGAGAAGGAATAAAAAGGAGGCAGTTTGTCTCATTTTTTTTTGTTATTGTTAGTTTTTGTTTCTGCTTTCCTTCTGCTGCCACCGCTATTGAAACAATTTTTTTGTTCACAAAATTGTTCTGCAATATTGTATTCTTTTTCTCTGTACAAATAGTTTATTGGTGTGCAGTAAAAAGTAAATCCTTTTTTCGGTTATTGCTGATGGTGGTGGTCATAAATCGGGAACCAAAAGGTAACAGATGGCACCTTGATGAAAAATTAATCATTTTTGCACTAAAAAAATATTGCTTTCGTAGAAATGTAAACGTTCTGATTGCCAACGACTCTGTGGATATGAAGAGGATTGGGGGGGG